ATATTTATACTAACAAATATAGTATAGTAAGAGTATTACTATATATATTATATGTGAATGTGTTGAGTTTCTTGAATAGTATAGTATATTAGTATTATTTATATAGATTTATTTATGCTATACTATTTTTAAATAATGATACTATTCATCTAATTAAGAAATTGTTTGTTTTTAAAAATTCAAACTTTGGCGAATTCAGAAAAAAATCTGTGTTTTGTTTTTAGTATTGAAATATTTAACTACTTATTAATATAAAATTAATAACCTAAATAAAATCAATGGGGTGAAGCTATATATTTATAATAGAAAAGAAAAAGAAAAAAAAATTCACTCTCTCTTACCTATGCCCACGCGCAAGAGGGAGAAACTAGTCCAATTTTGGACCAAAAAACCTAACAAACTAATAAATTTATTACATGGTTATAGGAGCATATTTTTTGGCTAATATGGTTATACACCAAACTCTCCCTTAATTAAAACGTGCGTTTCGTCATATCTTTTTATTTTGTACTTTTCGTCGTATCAATAGGTATTGCATTTTCTTTCTAAGGTCTCGTATTTTTCTTCAATCTCGAATAAGCGACTAGTAACAATCTGATGTGGTCAAACCATATTCGTAAATCGCATCTCCATTGTATATGATATTGACATATTGGAGTCCATAATGACATTAATAGTGGAGTTGACCACTTTTACGTTACATAAAATTTCCCGTGACCAAAAAGAAAAGTTATATAGAAAAATGGTATGTGATTGAAGAAGTAGTGTCACAAAAAAAAAAGATTGAAGAAGTGGAAAAAAAAAATTTGAAAACAAAAAAAATTCATAGAAAGTTTAATACTACTGTATATAATTTGACAAAATATATCGAAAGTAATGCCAAAAAAATGAAAAATTCTCAACTGGTAGGGCACAAGGTCTTAAAGTCGTTATCCGCTCAATAAGCAGAGAGATTGGCTCCCACAATTTTTCTCATTTTCGTATGCATTCATTAATCTATACGTACAGTAGGATAAGTGTCAAACTCTACATATATAAACTTTTAGGACCATCATTCATTCCAACTCCAGTAGCTAATTATTTCACTGAATCTTCTTTACCAGCTTCTAAAATAAACTGAAAATATAGTGAGGTTTGGTTTTTCAACGAAAGTGGGAAAATGAGTATCAGTTTTAGGGATAAATCTTGGATTTTTCTGGCAATTTTGTGTTTTTCACTGTTGATTTGCTCAACCAAAGCATTGGTATCTTATGATCATAAAGCTTTAATCATCAATGGGCAGAGAAGGATCCTTCTCTCTGGTTCTATTCACTACCCAAGAAGCACTCCTGAGGTAATCTTTTGGATTCAATTAATTAAGCACATTAACCTCTCTCTAATCAATGAAAAATTTATTGGGTTCTGATTAAATTTACTGAATGATTGCTTTGATTTTTCTACATATATTGTTTTGTTGTTTTTCTGAGCTCTTTTTCTCATAGCCTAGGCTATTTCATTGCAAATTAATTATATTTGTTTATATAGAATTGTGGATGCTTTGTTATATGCAGATGTGGCCTGATCTTATAAAGAAGGCCAAAGAAGGTGGTTTAGATGTCATACAAACTTATGTTTTCTGGAATGGACATGAACCTACCCCTGGAGAAGTAATTTAAAGAATTCTACTGCAATTTTCTTACAATTGACTCATATATAAGTCATATAAATTCTTAATGCTCTATAATTTTGTTTCCCCATTTTTATTTTGGGGATAGGTATGATCTGGTTAAATTTATCAAGCTGGTGCACAAGCTGGTCTCTATGTTAGTTTAAGAACTGGTCCATATGTTTGTGCAGAGTGGAATTTCGGGTAAATATAATCAATTTTTGTGTTTATTCTATTAGTAAAAAGATTTTTTGTTTCTTATGAATATATATACATTTACTTATATATGTTTTCTGAATTGTTAGGGGGTTTCCTGTTTGGCTCAAATATGTCCCGGGTATAGTTTTCAGAATCGATAATGGACCTTTTAAGGTATAACATTCGACACCTAGTAAATTTCAGTTTCTGGTTCTTTCATTTGACAATTAAAAACCGTAATTTGATGTGATCACTGAAAAGTTCGCAATGCAAAAATTTACTAAGAAGACTGTGGATATGATGAAAGAAGAAAAGTTGTTTGAGACTCAAGGAGGACCCATTATTCTCTCACAGGTTCAATTGTGTTTTCTTTGTTGTTCAAACTGAATTTACCTTATCATATAGTACGATGCTTATATATATATATATATACACACACACTATAATAGAAATGTCAATGCTAAACAAAATGGGCAGATAGAGAATGAGTATGGACCAATGGAATGGGAGCTAGGATCAGCAGGAAAGGCGTACAAAAAGTGGACAGCTGCAATGGCATTGGCCGGTTGTCCACAGGTGTCCCATGGGTTATGTCCAAGCAAGAAGATGCTCCTTTCCCTATTGTATAATTTCTCCCTTCCTCTCTTTCTCTTATTTAATTTTGCATATATATTAAGTAGGAAAGTTAAATTTTGGTTTTGGTTAATCTTTTCGATTGGGGTTTAGATAGTATCGTAATCAATTTAATGCTAAGTTTAGTGTGGTTGAGTTTCAATTTTAGTCAACCTACTTCTTTATTGCAAACGAACTTGAAATTTGGATACATAAAAAAATAAGACGCCTCTCTCTCTAGAAACGAGTTTGTCCTAGAAAAGCCAACCTTGCCGCCGCCGTCTTGCTCCGATTTTGGAGAAGATCTCCTCCGCTGGAGACTCTTCATCTGAAATTGGAGGCTCCTCGTGGTCATCTTCTCATTTAGCTTGTTGCTGACATCTTAAGCTGTAGTTTCCTTTCGCTGTTTAGTGGCCGTCGTCGGAGAGATTTCACAGCTTCCTCCTCCTCCATCTGGCTGAACTCTCTTTCTCCGGTTGATTTCTCAGAAAGTTTCCATGGCTCTCTCGAGGACGGAGGTCTCAACCTTCTCTGCCTTTCATCCGGATCTGACCATTCTGTCAACATCTCGTTCTCCCCTCTGGTTTGTTCGACTTCTGTGGCGGCCAATCCCTCCACCGAAACCATCGGATCTACTAATGTGGTCATCGCTCTCTCGTTTCCTCTCCTGGCCTTTGCTTCCTCCTCCGCTGGTGAATCCCTGTGGTCTACTCTTATGGTTAGATCCCGGTTCTCCTTCCGGACATGGTGCAAGCTCTGGTGTTTGGCGTCCAATGGTCCTTCTAGATTTCAACTTGGTGTCCTTCGCGCCACACTTTACTGCTCTATGCACAAGAATCATCTTCTTGCTTCGCGTTTGGTCCAACTCCCGAGTTTCATGGCTAGAGCTAGCTGCAATGTGCTTCCAGTCTATCGCAACTCTTGGACTCTTGGTAACGGTGTTCTGTAGCAGCTTATTTTCTATTGTCCAATAGTTTGGTTTGGATCTCACTTCGATTTCTGATTCTCGAGGAAGGTTTCTATCGAATTTCGTGATTCATGTGTCAAGCCATTACCTCATTGATAGCTGCGGCGACACCATCTTCCGCGACACCAACTTCATCTTTGGACGCTTGTTTTCTGCAGTATGCAGACTGTTACTCCACAGGCGCGTAGTCTGGCTTCCTCTACGAACTTTTACCATCATCACCACCTCCCCTATCTTGGTTTTCCAGGTTCGCTTTTGCTCTTCACTCTCCATTTCCTCTTGTGTGAAATGGTATGAAAGGCTTGTTGAGTGGATAATACTGGATTGGTTGGGTATGGTGCTAGTTTATGATGACCCAACAGACTTAATTACCTTTGTTTCATCGGGTGTGCCTATGCGTTTTACTAGATTTCATATCGCCTTGGTGCGATCCTTTACTGCACTATCCATGATCTTTAATGTTTTCTATCCGAATCTTGGTAATGTGTTTTTGGTTCTTCTTTCTTCATGGCCATATAAAAGAAAACTCATGTTTTCCCTGGTGAAAATGGTGATGGAATACCCTGTTGCCTCCTTTATGGAGCAGTCTCTCTTCCCAATTGTCCCTCCTATCGGGAGTGGTTTGGATTTTCAAGCATCGTCGGTATTGCAAGGATCTTCCTCCCGGCTGATGGTCTTCTCTGCCTTTGTTGCAGTGTTTGTAGCCTTTCAGGTTACATTGGATGTAACTGTTCAAGAAGATTACAAGATCGTTGTTCGATTGATTGTTGTGTTTTGGTATGATTTATATCCATCTATCTCTCGTTTTATCAATCCTTTGTCTTGTTCGGCTTCTTTTGGCCGCTTTGTATCCACTCTTAGTGGAGTTGAACTCTGTTAAATTACTGAAAGTTTAGTTTGTCCAAAAAAAAAAATCAACCTACTTATTTGATTTGGAAACAAAATCCAAAAAAAATCAAAATTTCGATTGATCAGTTTGATTTTAAGTTGTTGGAAATAAGAAATTTAAGTTTGTGTTAGATACTTTATCCGGATTGAATCAAAATGTATATATATATGTATATTGTGTGATGTTAGAACTTTGTATGAACCGTTGTTGGGCTAATTCTTCGACCTGACCTATATACTGTAATGGGCTTTTTAGTTTTTCTAAATCAAATTGGGCACGAAACCCAACACCAACATCTACGCGGATGGATATGTCTCCCGTTAAAATCATATTGTGTAAAACAAAATATTAACTAGTGAAAAGAATTTGTTTTGTAAAATTAATTTGTATTATAGCAAAAAGTTAACCAGTGAAAATATTTTTTTTAATAAAATTAATATGTATTTTAAATATTAAATTTGCTAAAGATTTCTCAACAACCACTATTGAAAAAATATGCACGGCTGTGTAAAGAGCTACAGCCTACATGCCAATTAATCTGAAAGGGCAATAACGACTTTTGAGTATGAACTTAGAGAAAGACACTCAGCTTTTTACGCTGAGATCTTTCATATTGAGCCGTGTGTTTGTGTTTGTGTTTGTGTTGTGATGAAGTTAATAAAATAAAATTTAAGTGAAAAAGGGGAAAAAAATGATCGTAAAAAGCGTGGATGGTTTCTCTAGGGTTCACTGCCATTTCCCTTTTTTTTTTTTTTGGACAACACGGCCATTTCCCAAGCCATGCTATTATTATAAGGCCATGGGGGCTAGTGTTTGACGTACAAAAGTCTAAAAACTGTCAGTCAAACAGGTCCAAAACTTCGTAATTAAATTAATATATAATAATATAATAATAGTTTAAAAATGAAATTGTTAAAAAAGGGAAAAAAGGGAAAAGATGAGGATGCAGATGAAAGCAAAATGTCAAACACTAGTTTCAGATTTTATCGGGAACTGGAGTTTGACAGTTGGTGTAATGGACTCTACAAAACATGTGCATCTCTTTACTTGTTCGCCTTTGTATTTACTGTTTTAGCTTACTACGTCTTGTCCAATTCCTCTCACATGTAAATGCTGTGGTCCGTGGATATTTTAGAAATTGCTGCTTGGCTCCTTTTATTTTTACCTTTTTAATAAAACGAGACTTAACTTCCCTTCTTTTTTTTTTTTTTTTTTTTGAACTAAGACTTAACTTCCCTTCTATTTTCCCTTCTTTAGGCTAATTTTCACTACAAACTAGCAGCAAGTTTGCTATCCAAATACAATCTCAGTATGGGGACCAAATTAATATCACTTTTCTTTAACACCTTCAAAAACGTTTATAAATCTATATAAATGAGTTGTTACCTAATTTTGAACTACTTGGCAATGGCACTTCAGCTTCATCCTAAGAACATTTGTTCAACACTAAAACTGTCAACTTTAATCACTTTTTTTTTTTAATTCCTCCGAGAAATTGTAAAAAAGGGGTTATCACTTTACAATCTTGAAACCTTAAATATCCTTTCCGTTTTCTACATTCCGTTTAGCTCACAAATAGTAACATATTGAATGGTGAACAATCAACTACGGTAGAATCCGGTTTAGAACTAACCATTTTTTTTGTCTTGGCGTATATAATGATGATCTATGGCCTTGGAAAATTTGGTTTTGTGGTGTAGAATCTAATTATCGGTCCCATTGTCTGACCCAACGAAGGGGTCGAACACTAAAAATCAATCTAATAGTCATTTTTGTCGATTATTATAAAGAATAATATATACTGCAACGGTTCCACGAAAAATGAGCTAAACTCATAATTATACCAATGAAAATGTTATCTTCTTGTTGTTATTTTAAGACAGGGAGAGGTGGAGGAAGAAACAAGATGGATCGGCAAAAGGAAGATGTCAAACACGCAACGACGAACATCTCCGATCTCCCACCTAATCTCTTCCCATTTATATTATTTTTAAAACCAAATTAATTTAATAAAACCTCAGAGAAAGAGAGAGAGAGAGAAAGAGTTAATATGAATAGAGGTGGAAAGAGCCATTAAATGTACGAAGCGACATTCACAATAATTCGAAAGGAGGAAGACGAGTTAGATACGGCCAGGCTCAGTGTCCTCGTCCACCACAAAGCTCCCCCCTTTCTACGGGAATCATCCTTCTCCAACACACTCCCTTCCAAATACACTCCGATCCTTCATTTGTTAAATTTTGCTTTCATTTTTCCTCATTTATCATCATCGGAGATCGTGAAGAAAGAAGAATATCAAAGTTAAATTAAGAATCCCCATAGAGAGAGAGAGAGAGGCTACTTACCTGCAAAACACCCTTTTCTGTTTGGATTATCGATTTTGGATTTTCAAAGTTTGGTTCTTTTTTTTTTTTTGTTGCTGTTGTTATCCTCTATTTATAACCATGCAATCTCACGACGAACCCTCCAATCTCCATGGCGGAATCCGGCGAGTTCAACGGCGGTCAGCCTCATAGTCCCATTAGAACAACTTCTTCTGGCAGTAGCAGCAGCAACCGTACTGCTCCACCTCCTCCTCCTCCACCATCAGTTATGGTGAGAAAGCGATTAGCTTCCGAGATGTCTTCATCTTCTTCCTTAAACAACCCTGACTACAACAACCATCGTCCTCCTCCTCGCCGTGTCTCTCACCAACTTGACTCCAACTACACCATCACTTCTCCTCCACCACCACCACCTATAACGGCGGCGGCCGACTATACCACTCAGCCGACCCCACCGCTCTCTGTATGTGGCTTCTCCGGTCTTCCGGTGTTTCCTTCCGACCGCCGGACAGCGATGTCCGTACAGCCAATGGAACAAGACTCTTCGTCTTCTTCTTCTTCACCTACTGTGTGGGTCGACGCCATTATCAGAGACTTAATCCACTCCTCAACTTCAGTCTCTATCCCACAGCTTATCCAAAACGTCAGAGACATCATTTTCCCTTGTAACCCAAATCTCGGCGCTCTTCTCGAGTACAGACTCCGATCTCTCATGCTTCTTGACCCTTCTTCGTCCTCCGACCCTTCTCCTCCTCAACCTTTCGACTCCATCACTCAACCTCTATATCATCAGATCTCTAACAATCCTTCTCCTCCTGTAACGCAACAACAACAACAGCAACAACAACAACAGCAACAACAGCAACAACAGCCTAAGCCAACACCTCCTCCAATTCAGCAGCAAGAAAGGGAGAATTCTTCCACCGATGCACCGCCGCCTGAGACAGTGACCAGCACGGAGACCACCGTAGCAAACACGGCGGAGGCGTTAAGAGAGAGAAAAGAAGAGATTAAGAGACAGAAGCAAGACGAAGAAGGCTTGCATCTTCTCACGTTGCTGCTACAGTGTGCTGAAGCAGTCTCTGCGGACAATCTCGAAGAAGCAAACAAGCTTCTCCTCGAGATCTCTCAGCTCTCTACTCCATACGGAACATCTGCGCAGAGAGTCGCTGCGTATTTCTCGGAAGCAATGTCTGCGAGATTACTCAACTCTTGCCTCGGGATTTACGCGGCGTTGCCTTCACGGTGGATGCCACAAACGCACAGCTTGAAGATGGTCTCTGCGTTTCAAGTGTTTAATGGGATAAGCCCTTTGGTGAAATTCTCACACTTTACAGCTAATCAAGCGATACAAGAAGCTTTTGAGAAAGAAGATAGTGTGCACATCATCGATTTGGATATCATGCAGGGACTTCAATGGCCTGGTTTATTCCACATCCTAGCTTCTAGACCCGGAGGACCTCCTCACGTGCGTCTCACGGGACTTGGTACTTCCATGGAAGCTCTTCAAGCTACTGGGAAGCGTAGTTTTTAGGAAAGAAAAATAAACATAGCTTCTAAATTTGCAGGTCTATACTATGACAGCAGTAGTGGGCTTTGGTACTCGTATGACCCTCAAACGCAACAATATGTAGCTTGTCCTGATCAAAACAATCAGAGTAAATCAACTGAAACGCAACCAGAGATTGCCAAGACGGAGAAATCCAGTCAACAAAAAGTTATTATCTCTGCGGCTGCTACCCCCACTGTAGACAAGGCTATCTCCTTACCAGATGCGGTACAGGCGGCTGCAGCAGCAGCAATTGCTTCGGAGAAGAGAGAAAAAGAAAGAGTGAAGGAAATAAAACTTGCATCAAAGAGTAGCATACTGGCTAGCAAGAAAAAAATGAGTAATGTTTTAACAATGTGGAAGCAGCGGAGCCATGAACCACAAACACAACGTCCCTCACTTGGTGTTGACAATCCACCTACAGTTCTGTCTGAAGCAAGGTCGTCTTTCTCCGCTGTACCATCCAAGGGCAAGCTGAAATCTGACACAATGATTGCAAAGGAGAGAACTACCTCCAATCATGGAGTTGCCGCACTTGCAACAACTCCCACTACAGAAAGCTCGAGTAGCAGTACAGGAGGAAGACCTTTGATGGGGGTGATGAGAGGTTCTTTTGGAGGAACTTCTTCTTCAGCTAATGTACAAGTGCCTCCAGTTTTGCCTTCTGCTCCTTCCCCTTCGGTTCCGGTTTCGGTTTCTGGGAGTGGGAGAAGAAGGTTCTCTGAAACGCCGACTGCAGTGCCCACTCACAGTGAACAGCCTCTGACATCATACCGGGACCGTGCTGCAGAAAGAAGAAACTTATACGGTTCTTCAGCTCCCGGCGGCAATGATGTTATTGATTCAAGTAAGCGTCCTTGACTTCTCTCACTCTGGAGTAGATTTTTATACAGAAATAAAAACTGGTATTGAGGAGTTATATGATAATAACATAACTGGGAAAATGGTGCGTGTTTTGAATGAAGGTGAAGATATTATGGGGTTGAGAAAAGGTTCATCGGATCCAACACCTTTTCCTCCTGGTGTGGGTGGACGTGGGATTACCACGACCGAAGTCAGTAGTTTCGATGTAATTACAGAAGATAAAGCAATAGACGAAAGTAACGTGGGAAACAGAATGTTGAGAAACATGGGTTGGCACGAAGGATCGGTAAACTTTTATAAACCATTAATCTGGTTTTTATCCTTAAGGTTATATTGTTATGGCAGAGAAGAAGAGAGTGGTGATGGTTGGTTGGTAAGTGCAGGGTTTAGGGAGAGACGGGAGTGGAATGAAAGAACCGGTGCAAGCGCAAGGCGTTGATAGGAGAGCAGGACTTGGGAGTCACCAGAAGAAACTTGATGCTGAGTTTGAGGCTCAGCCTGGCGATACCTACAGAACTGTTCTCCATAAGAAAGCACTTGCGAGGTTTCGTGATATGTCTGACAATAATTGACTGTTGAGAGGTTTTGTGTGTGTAAAGTGGTGTTGGAATTTTAATGTGTTGGTTGTATTTTAACTCTGAAAATTGATTTTGATTTTGCTCTCTAGTAGTCACTATTGAATTGTTGAACACATGGCACTTTATACTTCTTGAGTTGATCCGTCCAATTGTCCACATACAACTGTAATCCCTCTGATGACACTTTGCAAAAGTTGTTCTACATAGGGGTTCCGACGATTAGAGAAAACGGGTGAAACTAATTAAACTTGCGTCTGTCATTGGCTCCTCCTAAAACAAAAGTAGTTAATACGTTTGTGGGAACGATTGCTCCAATAGTTGGGTTTTGCAGCTACCTCCTATTTCTGGATCAACTCCTCAAAAGAAAAATAGTCTTTCAGCGAATCCACCGTGATTTACGTTGTCATATATGCTCGATATGTGAGATGGAAGAATTGTAGGGTTTTCTTCTGTCGATTTAAGTTTTACCACCTCTCTCTCTATTTATACATATCCAAGATCAACACTTTTAAACCTATACATGCCAATTTATTTGATTATAAGTTGGTATTGCCTTTAAGAATTCGGCCAACTTCTGCCAAGGTTTTTCAGCATGAAGAAATGTGAGTTTTTGATTAGTTCAAATGAAGTAAATTTGCTAAGCGACGAAGAAAATGTGATAACTGATTGTTTTTATCGAGAATTTTGACAGGGTTAGTTGGAGGAGCCGTTGTAATAGTATTGATTGCATTAGGGGCATGGGCTATTGTTTCCTTTACACCTCCACCTTCTAAGAGATGTGGTACCCCCGGTGGGCCGCCTATTACCGCCCCGAGGGTCCGGCTCAGCGATGGACGCTATTTAGCCTACCAAGAACATGGAGTTAGTAGACAAAACGCCACATTCAAGATCATCTTTATCCATGCATTCGCCACCTTTAGGCGCGATGCTGTTATCGCCAACCGTGTTCGTCCTGTAATGATTCGATCTTTTCTCTCTTCTTTGTGTTCTTTTTTAACGCCTCGATTGTTTGCATTTGCATTTGCTTCTTTCGTTTAATGTGCATTGTTTTTTCAGATGAACCCACAACTCTATGACTCAGATTGTTAATCTGCATGCATGCGTTTGCTTTTTTACATTAGCTTTTTGTTTATATATGTACTATGATTTTTTTCTTCTAGATAAACCAACAACCACTATCGTCTTAAACAAAGCTTCTTTGCGTTTGAAGCTTACGTTTACACTTTGCTAAAAATATTTTCAAATGTAAAGTATCTTGTTTGAAATGTTTATATTTTATTTTTTACCCGGACGAGCTAGCTCAGCTGGTTTCACCTCAGGCAATTGTTTGAGAGGTCACCGGTTCGAGTCTCGGTCGGGGAGGATTGTCCAGGGCCCTTAAGAAGGTACAGACACAGGCTGGATCCGGGCCTAGGGGGTGGATTAAGGCCCAAGGCCCAAACCACCACCTGGTTAAGCAAAAAAAAAAAAAAAATGTTTATATTTTACATGTAAACGCTAATGCAAAAATATGCATTTGAATACAATTGAGCCCTACCTAGAGTAATTGCGTTGTTTGTTTTGGTCAGGGGTTTCTTGAGAAAAACGGCATCTACGTGGTATCATATGATCGACCTGGGTATGGAGAGAGCGATCCTGACTCGAGTCGCAATGAAAAGACTTTAGCTCATGACGTTGAACAACTCGCTGACCAATTACAACTTGGTTCCAAATTTTACGTGGTTGGATACTCAATGGGAGGCCAAGCCGTTTGGGGTGTTCTCAAATACATCCCTCACAGGCTCGCTGGAGCCACATTGCTTTGTCCTGTAACCAACTCATGGTGGCCTAGTTTCCCGGATAGTTTGACATGGGAACTATGGAACAAGCAATCTAGAACCGAAAGGTTTGCGATGCTCCTCACTCACAACACTCCATGGCTGCTCTATTGGTGGAACAATCAAAAGCTTTTCCAAACATCAGCTGTGATGCAATCAAGACCTACAATATTCTCTCCTCAAGATATGGCTTTACTGCCCAAACTTGCCGGAAGGGTCGCTTACAAGAACCAAACAACGCAACAAGGGACACACGAATCATTAGACCGCGACATGATTGTCGGATTTGGGAAATGGGGTTTTGACCCGATGAAGATCGAGAATCCATTCCCGAAAGGTGAAGGATCGGTTCACTTGTGGCAAGGTGATGATGATAGACTTGTCCCGGTACAACTACAAAGGATCATTGCTCAGAAGCTAACTTGGATCAAGTATCATGAGGTTCCAGGCGCTGGTCATTTGTTTCCAAATGCTGATGGGGTGGCAGAAACTGTCTTGAAGGAACTATTGCCTATTCCCCAAGCATCTTAAATTTAATTCATTCAATTTGACATTGTTTAGAATCAGGAAAAGAAAAAAATATTGTACAAAATATAGTATTATGTATGGATTTCTTCTGTATCATGTATGTATTTCTTTTCGTTCTTTGTAAATTTTTGGTATATGTTGCGGTGTAGTTAAAACAAATGTACTCTGGTAAAACAAAAACAATGAATTTATCTTTTTATTGGAAATACGAAAGCTAGTAGTAGATAACAACGGAGCTTGCAATTATTATTCTGCCACAAATATCTTTTTAAAACTCGCAGTTAAAGGATGCTGCTAATCACATAACATTAGATTGAAGCAGACATGCTCACTTGGGAAGGCCGGTTTTTTTATCAAGAAGAGCCTGAGTTTGGTCGGGAAGCACGACGGGACCTCTTCCAGGTCTAGTGCAGATAAAATAACTGACTTCTCCTTTTTGATCCTGAGATCCAATGTTGTCTTTAATTTCAGGTGGAGGTTGTAGATTCTCTACACTGTTTGCTCCATCTAGTCCTGCCTCCTTTAGAATCGAATTATCTCCCACTACGTAACTGGTAAACAAAGAAACCAAAATCATTCCAAACAGCCCTTTTTAGTCATGGGTTAAACTCATCGAAAGCCGCAGTAAAAGAATCACGAAGTTTCTATCTCTCACCTCTTCATATCAGTGTCAGACTTAGGAGGGAAATAGTATAGAAGTCCCTGGAGCAATTGAACTGCTACCTTTCTGTTGCCTGCAATCAGTACAGCATTTGGGCCAGCATCAAATGTGTAAGCAACCTGTTCAGATTTAAGTTATTCGAGTTATTTGTTGTTTATAGAGTAACACAGAGTAGTTTCTGCAGTGAGATTTGAGATAAATCTACGCCAGTACAAGTACTAGGAACTAACAAATGGTCAAAAGCTTGAGCAAGAAACAGCTTGGTAGGAGTTTACCTGAGGAGTACCTTCAGAACGGTTCCACTTTTCAACTAAGCTAATTATCCTGGGGAAGCAGTTAACGACAGCTTGATATTAAAAGGAGAAAAGGAGTTTGATATACCTAAATAAGAAGAAGAAGCATATAATTGTCAAAATAGAAATATACCTGTGGGAGGTGTCATTCATGTAAAATATGGGTGGAGATGTATCTAGACAAACAGCATGAAATTGATTACTGTCTGCGCAGCTCAATTGGGTAAAAGATGCAAAATCTCGGTTTTTAATAGCTTCCTCCATTTGCAGAATCCTTTTCGGCACAACATCCTACAGAGAAAGAAAAGAACAGAACATGAACTTTTAACAGTTAATACAGATTACAGACTTCCATCAAACATCAAGAAGAGAACATACTTTTGCTCTGTGCTGTAAAAGCAAACTCGTCTCAACACTTTCACGCATTCCAGAGGTGCTGCTGGTTTCCTTCTGCCTTGAACTCACCTGGGTGTAGCATAAGCTTAAACCAGTTACAAATACACATTAACACAGAAGCTCATACAGGCTATGTAAGAAATATGATAAGTAGGCACTGGACTATCACAAATTTTAGATCATATTATTTGAGCTTGTCTTAATCATGCCATAATGCAGAAGAGTGTGGCTGTATGAATCGATTATCTGCTAATGTTCATCAGTTTATATAAAGCAATTCAAAATCAAGTCCTGGTATATAGTCATTTATAGAGCTATTCATTCAAATCGTATGACGATTGAGATTGTAGCATACGGTAAAATTTGTAAACGGCGTGATCTGGGAGATGGGAGAATGGGAATAACTCTACGAACAAGTCTAAAGTCACACTTAATGAAAGATTGAAAAGATCCATACCACAGCAATGATGATAACAAGATCATCCCAATGCTTCTCATCTGTCAATTGAACTGCAACGCTGTCACTTCCATCGTCTTTGCTTCCCATTTTCCACTCGACAAATCCACCAAATAAACTACGGCAAGCACTTCCTGAACCTTGCCTACATGAGATTGAAAGTTAAACTGTGCATACCAGTATCACTTATAATCTAGAGGAATGCCACGTTTCAAGGTAACTCAACTAAAAACCAATATGGATCATTGTGGAAAATGATAGCATGTATATAATCAATGCATGAGGAACATAAGATGTAAGGAATGATAGTGCAAGGAAGTCGACTGCATACGTACCTGGCTATCGCAGAAAGTTGGCTTGGATCCTCATCTACATTCATCAACTTTGCAAGAGAAAAAACTGCAGGAAAAAAGCAGTTTGACATAAACTACGAGCCATGTTCATCTCATCAGTGGAAAGACGAAGAGCTAAAATCTGACAAAATTTCAATTTAGCATGAAGGTTTAAATCAACCCCACGAGGTTAACAGAGAGAAAAAAAACGGCAGAATACCTAGACAAGCGAATCCAGCTGCTGAAGATGCTAAGCCAGCAGCAGTAGGGAAGTTGTTATGAGAAGCAATATGAAGATGTAGTTTCTCCCAATCTTTCTTCCCTATCTTGACACCTTTCTCCTTGTCTTCAACATCACCAGCACGACTTCGAATCTCCCTCAAACAGTTTTGGTACCTACTCCCAGAAAGAGAGATCTCCTATACTAACATGAAACAAACAAACAAAATGACTCATTTAAATCATTAAAGACTCTGCCTTTAAACATTTAATTCCCAATCATCTAACTAATGAAGCAAAAATACTAACTTTATTTAACATCATGACTTATCCCATTAATGAACTAAAAACCCATCTTTAAGGTTTGATCACTGGATACGAAATCTCAGCAAAGAGACGAACATAGGAGATCGTGAAAGTACCTTGCCATTGAGCCACATTCGATCCCGATCGAAAGAAGGACTAACGGCGACAGTGGTGACGGTGCAGAGGTGATCAGGATCAAGAGTTACACTAATGCTGTCGTTGACGGGGAGAATCCGAACCTCATCTCTCTTTCCCCAATACTTAATCACCGCGATGTTCGTCGGCGTTTGCGCCGTCACCATGTACACCCAATTCTCCGCCGCCATATGAAACTTCCGAAGGTTACTCCAAAGGCCTATAGAGGAGGTGATGATCTTCGTTGCCCCCAGAGAGAGATCTGGAGGAGCTTTCAAGTGATTAAATCGAAAGTAAATTAAAAGAGACGGAGAAACAAAAGTGACTCATAACGGAATTCGGACAAAATATCATATATATTATTTTATTCAAATATTATATTGGGGGTCATTACTTTACTCTCGTATCAAATAGTATATAGTTTTCGCCCAAAAATATGAAACTGGTATATACTATATAGTTTTATTATGGTGACAACACCAAAACATAACCTACAAAGTTTGAGGAATATAAAAGGAGTTAGGTAGCAGTGGCCACAGATAAAGGGTATTTTGAGAATCAGAAGAAAAAAATTGTTTTCTTTTTTTTAAACAATTAGAATCTTTGGATACATCTTTAACAAAGAAAAAAAGATTTTGGATACATAAATATTTTCTCATGTAACTGAAGATGTAAAAAACGTTTAAACAAACCCAGGCCTAGTCTTTTTGCTTATACATTATTTACTTTGTAGCGTTTGTTTGGGAATCTTGGTGTCCTTTTTAAGACAAATTAAACGAACTGAATCATCCAAAGTAAAAAAAGTCTCTCTACAAAACATTATGCTAAACGGAACTTAATGCATAAAGTGACAAACAAATGGATACAGAGAATATTGTTTTCCCATTAACCATATGCTGGTTTTCACATTCAGTAAACATAGTAATAATGATGCATATATACAATCCGAAAAGCTGAAGCGAAATGCAAAGAGAATACTATTTTCATGATCTATTGATGCTATATGCTTAAAGGCCTTGAGCTGTCTTGTCTTTGATTATTGGGTTGTTAGTTTCGGGGAAAAGGTATACATATAGTAAACCACTGACTTCACTTTCCAAAACAGACTCATAACTCATACAAGTAACACCCGAAAGCCCAGGACTAAGTAAAACAGACACGTAACTCATGCAACTTTGGTTAAGATTATTGAAGAAAGCATCTCATTCCAAATATCCGGGACACCAGGCAAGCACCAGTGACTACAGTCTGATAAAGATCCAGCGATATGATGGTGCTTCTCTTCCTCTCGCATTGCTCTCTTGAACACAGAAGGATGCCCATCTCTCCTATAAGCCGACATTGTTGTGATATCATGCAAATACACTCGATATTTCATTCTCGTAAGGACTTTTTTTAACACTCTTGATTGTTGAGGAACGTGTGATTCGCTAGGAGAAGGCAACGGATGTCTCTGGTTGTAGCACTTTTGACCACTCTCTCTGCCAACGAAAATATGACATGATCACCTTTGCTTTCATGTAATTGATGTTATGATATTAGGAAAAGTATAGACCTCGGTGAGCTTGTGCGGAAAATGACTTTGGTTTTGGATGGATCAAGATTAATCTCTACCCATTTAGACCATGTTGTAAGTCCTCTCTCATAAGCAACCATTGGATCCATAGCTTTGAAAAGCTTGTTCCCATCTTTGTAATAGTCCCACCTAAAGCATCAATAACTTGTGTTATCGTTCACATCTGACATAAGACACACCTAAAGTAATAGATAAGAAACATGGATTAATCTAGTCATTGTTAGAGCTTAAACAGTTCTATACTAATCATTTGCTTCTAATTAAACCAAAGCTGATAAAGGTTTTGTTGATGGCTTACGAACTCCGTTTCTGAGAGTGAGTCCACCAGTGAGCAGAATCAAATACAAGAACATCGACACCTCGCCAGTATCTAGCGTTGCCTTCGATTAAGTCCAAATGTAACAATCTTTTACGGTCATTTCCTTTCTTGAGTTCCACAAGCAGAGGAGCCCAACAGAACTCAATTGATGTCTCAAAATCCTGCAAGTAACCAAACTTATTATAGTTGCTTTTTACTGACCAATTATGAGTATGTGATCCAAAAGGAGATCTATGTTAAAAAGAGTCATGATTGTTACCAGAGAATGGAAAGACATTGTAGGACCATTGTAAGTGACCTTCTTACGATGCGTGGGAAGCACAGACTGTACTAAGCAGACAAGAGATTCCCACTGGTTTCTCATAATTGAATCTCCGACCAACATTATTCTTTTTTGCCTCATTTTCCCCAGAAATTTCAATGCGTCAAACCTAAACCCCAATCAATTAAAAAGAGCTTATGTTGGTAGGAATAAAACTTGCAAATTGTGGATTTAAAACGCTGTTTAAAATTTTAAAATCACTAGATCATAGTATCTTATTTTTCAGATAAATATGAACATAGAAAGTACATTAATCAAAATAAATAATTTGTGATTTAAGATAATTTATTTTATATTATCCAATATTTCTTCAGCTAATCTTCCAAATTTTAAACTCATGCAAAAATATTTTCAATTAGTTGCGTTTTAAAATACAAAAACCAAAATTGGCTGCGTATCTAAAGTGAAAGTCATGAAACAAATTCCACACGCTCCTATAGTCCTATAGAAAAGAAACTGAAAATTAACTAGTTCCATAACAAAATATTCCACTAGTCTACTACATTGCAGAGGAATGAATGGAAATGAAAACATTTATCTAACTTGTATCTTTATCCGATTCATCTTTAATACCACTTTTTCAACTCGTCTTTCATACCACTAAGTCCGCATGCAATTACCATTTGGCTCGCCATAATATTCTAACCGAATTCTCTTATGGAACGAAATTTAACAAGAAAAACTTGTTAAAAAGAAGTAAGAATAGATAGATATTAGAAGAGTGGATGTGTGCCTTGAAAGTGAACAAGACTTAGGGATCCATCTCCATTTTTGGTAGTAAGAGTCGGGCCTTCCATTTCTCTGGCAACTTAGCGCAGAGCTCAGGTATGGACAGTTTGAGTCATAGAGCGGATACGTTTCGTCGTAGCTCCATTTCCCCACCGAGTAGTCGCACTTCTCCTCTCTTTTTGCACGCCTTGTCTGCAAGGCGTTGAGTGGATCGTCGTCGTCGTCACCGACTAGCCATAGCTCATCAAGCTGCGACGATGCTTTTTTGCTAAGGATGAGACACAGAGAAAAGAAGATGACTCGAGTGTTTAAGGTAGCCATTTGGAGGAAACTGACTGAGCACTGAGCAGTGTGAGTGAGCTTGGAGAAAGAAATAGTAATATAAAGAAAATAAGCCAAAAAGTGGATAAAGTGAAAAAGGGCGTTAATTACGGAAAGTGGTGGGTAATTAGTAATTAGACTTATGCATTAAATCATGTTCCGTAACTTGCGTCTCCTCTTAGCTCCATCATATCCTTTTTCTTTATCCTTAGATTACAGTATCCGAGGCGGGATTCGCGAGTAATCGTAGAATTGAACAAAACTTTGGTAATTTGTTATGGTTAAAAAAACAGTTTTTTCTTTTTCTTTCAAGATCCGAATTAAATTTGAATCAAACCGATGAAAAATATTTGAAAAAACCGAACCAGTACCCTAGACCGAACCAAAGCGAAATATAGTACATAACAATCCCTGTAAACCAAAAAAGAATCAAACACGATTTCTTTCTTAATCAGTGTCGAAGACAACAATCAACAAGTACATAACGAATGAACAAAGGAAAAAACCAAGAGTTACCCAAAACATGAACAAAAGAAATGTAGGGTTTTATTGTAGAGACCCAAAACTCTCCCTGCCCCAAAAGGTCCTAAATTATGATCCAAGACAGATCAATTCAGGCACAATATTCCTTGTTTATACTTTTCAAATTCTGTAAAAGAGTATTAACGAAACCAACACATAACACAAAACAAACACTATGCTCTTTTTTGGTTAGCTCCTGTCCCAAACAGGTATCATCATCTTAATATGTCAGTCCAGTTTCAGAAAATCCATTTGTCTTGATCATCTGAACAGGAATCAGCTAACCATGATTGGTGGATGTGCATCCACGTCAGCTTTTGCTTTTCCTCCTTTCATTTCAAACCCCATTTTCAGATTTTCAATATTGTTTAATCAATCAAGTCGTTAAAAAAACTTAAAAAGTACATAGGTTTACCTGGCAACTTAGTAAGACTCTTGTCGAACAAGACCCTACTTTTCCCTCTGAATACAACACAAAACAAATAAGACTAAAACATTAAGATAACTGTTTTGCAATTTACTTGCCTGAAAGGATTGATCTTATATACTAAAAGAGATAAGTAAAAGACTAGATTTCTTACCAGATAACTCATGCTTGTCAAATTTTACAATCCATGTCTCAGAGCTGATAAGAGAAGACGAAACTCTATCCAACCAAATGCGAAACTGCTTCTCCTTCCCGTCCCCATGTAAATTTTCCAAATCGTCTATCCATTCATGTATCGGTTTCTCCACTCCAGACGGATGAACAAAAATACCAAGTGGACTCTGAAACATTGCAAAAGCAAAACAATTAAGCCAATTAATCCGTATACACGATACAGTGAATCAAGATCATCTTCAAAATTATTGATCTGGGCACTTGAAACATTACTCAGATGCTCCCTCATCTTCAATAATTCTCAAGAAAGAAGTATTTTCTAGGCAGTCAAACGAAGAAAACACACTTACAGAGAGCGATTTCAAGTTCTGCAAATACTTGTCAGACTTCTCCACCTCTGCACAGCGCCATTTCTCGTAAAGCAAATAAAACTGAACCACCTCATGAGCAGGATCCAAAATTTCCACGTGGAAATTTTCAGTATCCAAAACATCTCTCGGAGAGGCGCTTGGTCCCAGATTAAACCTTTGTAAGGCCTCGATCATGCCAGCTCCACATCTCTCGGACGCAAGAATTATTTTTGGGTTGTCCTTTGCATTTTCTTCGTGCCATTGCAATAGTTCGTTGTGCGAATTGCTAACCTTAAACAGTAAAACAGCATCACAACTACCAGAGTGCAATCAAGAATGATAAAAATAAACAGTAGGAAACTAACCATTACACCATATGCTTGAGGAATGTTGAAAAGCTCAGCATCGTTTCCAGAGTCACCACAAGCAAGTATGTTACAAGGCTGCTTCCCTTCAATCTCCAACTTTTCAAGTAGATAAGTCAGAGCTCCTCCTTTGCCAGATGCTCTTGGTAAAACATCAAAAGCAAAGTCGTTGCTATAAACCAGCTTCACATCCACCTATACGGGTATTTAACAGTCATCAGCACCAAAAGGTACAATACATGATAAGAATAGCCATCAAATGTCACGTGAGTGGTACACAAAAAATAGTCTCACCCCACGCTCCAATAATCTCCCTGGAAGAACCTTCATTATTTCCAAAGCATGTACTCTTTCAACATTAAAACTCACTTTGTGCTCCTCTTGGCTCTTCTCTGCCTATAACAGTAAAAAAATAACATTTTATTCAAATCAGACAAGTGTCCAAACAGTAAAACAAAACCACAATCAGCTTTATTTATGCCAACAAAACCAAACCCATTGTAATAATCAAATGAAACAGAAAGTCAAAGTCAACGCAGGAAAGAGCCAAAATATCAAATCCTCTCTCAAACAAATAAATAATAAAAACCTGCGGCTCAAGTTGAGGGAACTTAGAAGATTCCTCAACGACAATGTCTCTGTTCCACATTTCATCCAAACGAGCCTCCCAAACATGATCAGAGACCATCGATTCGCCGCCGCCGTAAGCAATCTCGGAGCCGACAGAAGTAATGGCGATGTCCGGAGTCAACAACGGCTTCTTCTTCCTAAGACTCAAGTAAGAACGCATGGACCTTCCGGTGGAGTAAACAAGCAATGAATCATGGCGGTAGTGAGCTTCCCATAGCGCGTTGAATCTAAGGAGGTCGGTGTTTTCAGGATCATCGTGATCAACCTACGGATTTAGGGAGAGAATATGAATGATATGTTTTTTTTCCGTGAAAGAGGTAAAAAAAAAAAAGAGTATTGAAATCAGAAGTGTGTGAGAGGAAATAGGAAGTACCAATGTGCAATCAAGATCAGTAACTAGTATAAGACGTGGTGGACCATCAAGTCTATCCATCGTTTTCCAAAACCCCAAAAGATGATCTGATTTTTCTCTTTTGCTTCTTAATTTCTCCCCTTTTCTAACTTTTTGTTAATCTCTCTGTTGGATTTCGACTTTGTGTAAGAAGACTTTATTTATATACAGGCTAACTCGTTTTATTAAGAACAAATTATGGTCGTCGCCTGTTGGGTCTTTTTTTTTTTTTTTTTTTTGTCTAAAAATTATGGTCGTGGCCTGTTGGGTTTAGGCTGTGATTTTAGGTTTTAAACTATACAGATTTTGGTTATGGAGATTTTTGTTTGTATGTATCATTTTTAAATATATGTCCAAAATATTGATGAATTTGGAATTTTTTTGTTACTCCAAATTATTGTAACTAGGTGATTCTCCGGTGCTCATGCACGGATATAAATATTTACAAAATAACTAAATTAAAATTATTGGTTAATGTTAGCTTTTATTTATTTATAAGTCTCTATTTGTTTTGTTAACTATATGTATGTAAATAGAAGATTGTTTTAACTAATTTTTATGATGTTATATATCTTATTAAACATGTTTTTAGTATAAGAATTTAGATATGTAACGTTATTCATTTTTAGATTTATTATGTGGCATATATTCCTTCAAATTGAAATACAATTAGTTTTTGGTTCTATTTAGGCTAAAGTTCGGTCGGTTTTAGTCTTAGATTTGTAAAGATAAGTATAGATCGGTTTAAAATTACATAAATGAACCACTAGTAATATTTTGAAAACTCATGAATGTATATGGATATTTACAAAAATAAAGATATCATAATTGGTTAATATTCACTATTATTTGTTTATATTTTCAAACATTTATGTAATTTATATGTATGAAAAGGAAATGAAATATTATTTTAAATTTATGTTATTATTTAAATTAGACATGTGATTTCATCCATAAAATTTGATTAGTCCGGTTCTTCTTTATTATTTATTTAAATAGATTTATAAATTTATTTTCGTAAAATACTATATAATATTATATATGTTTTTGGAAAAAAAGTTAAAAAACAAATACTAAAATGTTGATTGGCTCTTTGCATAAACGAACAAAACTGATAATTTGTTTAAATTTTAATGTTTTTATATATAAAATTTATTTGGAATAACTTTAATGTTTTTAACGTTTCTTATGTAATATTTTTATTTTTTTATTTTAGATTTTTAAAATGTTTTAATTGTTTCCAAATACCTCCGGTTTAGTAGTTATCATCTCAGTCTTGATTTATTTAAAATCTTGATCATTTAAACGTTTTAATTTGGAATCACAATATTTAAAATTATTTTTAAGTTAAATCATTTTTTAATATGAATTAAAAGAGACTTTCCTTTTTTTTTGAATTAACGTTTTTATATCTAATAAAAATATTTTTATATTTCAAAGTTATTTCATTTTTAATATGATTTTAAAATGAATTTCATTTTTTATAATTTTCGTTTTTGTATATATACAAAAAATTATTTTATATTTTAAATTTATTTATTAATGCGATTTTTAAAAAAAATCATTAAACAAAAAAAATTAAATTAAAAATATTTTAAAATGGCAATTGTCTTAAAGTTATTTCCTTTTTAATATGATTTAAAAAAGGCTTTCCTTTTTTAGAATTAATTTTTTATATCTAATAAAAATATTTCTATATTTCAAAGTTATTTCCTTTTTCATATATTTTTTCAAAAACTTTTCCTTTTTGTAATTTTCGTTTTCTACATCTATACCAAAATTATTTTATGTTTGAAAAATTATTTCCTTTTATTAATATGTTTGAAAATCATTAAACAAAAATATATTAAAATGTTTCAGTAATGGTAAACAAATATAACAATTGGAATTCATTAAGGGTATCTCTGTATTCAACCTCGTGAGAATTAACGTGAGCGCGACACGTAGGAAACTGACTTTCCTTTTTAGTATGATTTAAAAAAAGACTTTCCTTTTTTCGAATTAATGTTTTTATATCTAATAAAAATATATCTATATTCAAAAGTTATTTCCTTTTTAATATGATTTTTTCAAAAACTTTTCTTTTTTTTGTAATTTTTCGTTTTTTATATCTATACAAAAAATTATTTTCTGTTTTAAAATTATTTCCTTTTATTAATATGTTTAAAAATCATTAAACAAAAATTATATTAAAATATTTCAAAAATGGCAAACAAATATAATAATTGGAATTCATTAAGGGTATCTCTGTAATCAACCTCGTGAGAATTAACGTGAGCGCGACACGTAGGAAAATGACTTCTCAAATAATATTATAGAGATACATATTATAATCAAGGGTGAATTTGCTAGAAATTCGTCATTTTTGTCAAAATTTGGTCCATAGGAAAAACAGTGAAGCGAGGGAGAATTCGGATTTCGAAATGGTGGTGTATGACCGAAAAACCCTTAGCGACAATCTCTGTAATTTAGGCAGTAATTAAAAAATTATTTAATTAAGATATTGTACAGATATTATCTACAAACTTAGACGTCTATAGCGGTTCATAGGTCTGCGAATAGGTTCCTGGTGTCCACAGAAAATCTTCTCTCTCGAAGCTACGCATTTAATGCCAAATCTAAGAGATTTCGTATGTTTATGTGGCATGTCATGGGATGTATGTATGTATGTGTATGTTATTAGGGTTTTTTACCCTCTATATAAATAGGTATCGTCCCCAATTTCCCTTTTATCAGCCACCTCCGAAAAAGAACACACAGATATCCTCAAGTTAAAGTTGTCTTCTAGTTGAATAAGTCAAGAAAGATACTACCGTTTCTTCCGTTAAAGGTAAGCCGACAATAAACTCAGATGTCTTCAATATATTCCTTTTGTAACCTAGTAAATACCACTCCGGAGCAATAAAGTCTGAAATCTGTCGTTTTACAACATTAAATACTTCCATAAATGTTGATTTCGCTGTAAAGTTACCGAGAAATTATATATTGATGAGTAGATGTAATATTTTTTTTTGGTTTATTTGCTAGATGGTTGGAAGTTTGGTTATGCTTGTCCGTGGGTCGTGGGAAAGATCGGAAGTCGGTGCTTGGAGTTTTAAGGTCGACAGCGAAGGTGAAAGCTTCTGCATGATGGTCTCGGAGAACGCGAGCTTCGACGGGCTTATGAACAGTATTAGGGTGCGATGCAATGTTGACGCCGCCACAGAGGTTGCTTTGAGCTACCAATTCCCTGACTGGATGTTGGTACCCACCGGACCTCCAACTCCGCCGATAGATGTGCTGAACAACGCAGACGTGGGGGTTTTCATGGCTGTGCGCATGGAGGTTCCCGAACTACCGATGTGTGTGACCGTAGGAAATGATGCCGTTAACCGTTACAAGTTTCAGAAACGTGCTACGTACGACGTTGGAGGAACATCTAATCCGGTATCTGTGCAACCGTTACCAATCCAGTTTGGGAGTTTCGACTACCGTGGTAAGATTCACTGGTAAATGCTAATAAAGATTTTTTCATAGTGTATAACAAAATAGGTAACTTAAAATTGTGTATGTAGGGTTCTTTTCACGAGATGTGATTCGGTGCAGCCAGAGTGTGTTGGAAGAGGTATGCACGTCAGATGAGCTAGAACTCTTACTAAAGAAGTCGACGGAACTGGAAGCACAGCTCATGGCTGCCCATCAGCAATCCACAACGAACCAAGTTGTCCAGCTGAGTGACAACCAGTCTTCGGCGGGATCCAGCAACAATCCCGGCAATGGAGATGGACAACACGAAGAAATCGTAAGGCTTACTGATGAAGAGGACACCAACATGGGTCCAGCGAGTTTTGACAATGCACTGGCCAATCTAGCCTTAATGACCCCAGTGAAAGGTACGGTTAAGAGAATAGGCTAGGAAATTTAGTTAAAGCTATAACATTTACCGGTGACTCATGCAATGCAGTTGTTGGAAGAGGAGAAGTTGGTGCCGTGACGCCACACACTCTGACGTTTAGTGAAGATAAAGGGAAAAGGAAGGCAAAAGAGAACACCTCAGAGAGTGGGTCTCATCTGGCTTTGACGTTAGCCTGTCCATCAGGATCGGAGAACAATGACCCCATAGCTGAAGACACCGACGAGGAAGATATGATAGGCGATGTTTTTGTCGGTAAGAAATTTGATAACGGGTATTTATAATAATAACGTCGTAATCGAATGTTGAATATGTAAATCGCATGGTAACATTTGGTGTTAACAAGCAGGGGACGGATTAAGCAGGAACGACGAGGTGTATGTGGGTATGATGTTTAAAAACAGGGAAGCTTTCAAGCTCCACATGGCTATGTACGCATTGCACCACAAGTTTCGGTTCACCCACAAGAAGTCTACACCAACTGTTATGGTGTTGGAGTGTGTTGGCAAAAGCTGTACATGGAGGGTTTATGCGGTGAAGATGAGTGGGTCGGAGTGGTACCAAGTGAGGAGGGTGAAACCTGATCATTTATGCACGGTTGACGAGAGAGGGAATTTCCAAAGACATGCCACATCAACGGTAATAGGAGACATGATGCGAGCACGGTACGCAGGACGCGGGGCGGGACCAAAACCAAATGAGGTGCGGGAGATGATGAGAGCTGACCACGATGTACCTATCTCATACTGGAAGGCAAGATATCTTGAATTGTCTATTTAAGTTATTAGATGGTATTAATGTAGATAGACATTGATTATTTAAATTTAGGCTTGGCGATCCCGACAGGTGGCAATGGATTATGCGAAGGGGAGTAACGGCGGGTCGTACAAGTTGTTACCGTCTTATCTCCAACAACTGGTGATAACAAATCCTGGAACGATTGTTAATCTAGAGACCGACATTCAAGAAGGCCAGGGGCAGCGTTTCAAATACCTTTTCGTCGCATTTGGCGCATGTGTGCAAGGATGGAAGTATATGCAAAAGGTGGTTGTAGTGGACGGGACGCATCTGAAGGGTAATTATGCAGGCTGTATGCTAACTGCGAGCGCGCAGGATGGAAATTTTCATATCTTTCCAGTGGCATTCGCCATTGTGGATGGGGAAAATGACAAATCCTGGACCTGGTTTTTTCAAAATCTGCTGAATGTAATTCCCGACGCAAACGACGTGGTCTTTGTCTCCGACCGGCACAACTCAATATACGCTGCCTTAAGCAAGGTATGAACTACAATCGATGATTATGGGGAAATTTTAGGTTGTGTGTAACTTGTTAAGTTAGACCTCTATAGTAATAAATATTGTTTACCTATAGGTGTACCCGCAAGCTAAACATGGGATCTGCGTTGTTCACTTGCAAAGGAACGTCCAAGCCATCTTCAAAAAACGGCAACTAGCATACCTGATATCCAAGGCAGCCAGAGCATATCACATCTCGGATTTTAACACACACTTTAACCAGATAGTGGAAATCGATCGTTCTTGTGCAGAATACCTCGCCGCCATAGGATTTGAGCAATGGACCCGTGCACATTTTAGTGGAGTGAGGTACAACGTCATGACCAGCAACATAGCTGAGTCATTAAACGCTATAATGGCTGAAGCTCGAGGCTTTCCAATTCTGGCTCTATTGGAACACATTCGCACCACCCTGATGGGTTGGTTTAATGAACGGCGGGAGAAGGCTACAAACGACTCTGGTGTCCTAACGAAAAGAGTTCAGGCAATCGTGGCTTCTAACTTCGAGAAAGGGACCGGGTATGTGTTAAAGCGCATCAACGATAGTGAGTTCGAAGTGATAGACAAAGCAGGGTTCACTTTCCGTGTGGATCTATGCAAGAAGAGTTGCAGTTGCTGCGAGTTTCAACTCTTATCTATCCCTTGTTCGCATGCGGTAACAGCTGCCGTAAGGTCAAATGCTAATGTTGAACAGCTGGTCGGGGAGGAATTAACGACTAAGTTTTGGCGAATGGCTTACGCGGTGAGTATTTACCCAGTGCCAGATTATCAATCGCCCAGCGAAGAAGGTGACCTCATTTCAAAACTTTGCCCTACTGCCACCCGCCACCAGGCGCCCTCCTGGACGCCCACGTAAGCAGCGTATATACTCACGTGGTGAATTCAGGGTAAGTTTATCATTTAACAAGGATTTTATAAGTGTGGACGGGAGATAAGCGTTAGCATTAAAAGTAAGTTTATAACGAATGTATTTATCCCTTAAGTTTGCAGGGGCGATTTG